AAAAAACATTGTATGATTGAAAATGCTTGCCAGTCAGCCATTTTTGATTGTAAAACAAATTGCCATGGACATGTAATCAAAAATGTACAATGTATACCAATGGTATATACTAACAGCTGACTGTAAGTTATAGGAAATGTACTGATTAGGAAGTTGGTAAAAATAATCAGTGAAGTACTGAAATAATGTAGTACCTGTACATAGCTGGAGAGTGAGGGTCTGATACCAACATTTGCTCCAAGTATTCTGTTGTATACTTATTGCACCAGCCCTATGGATAAAAAAAATCAACCCAGACTTAGACAGACAGCAACTTAAATAAACGAGAAATTCTTTCAACAATGATAGGGGTAGAGCTGCATGATAATTTAAAGATTTCTGTTCATCAAACTTTTCTTTGATTTCTGTTCATAATTCTGTCTTACTGTATGTAGTGTATGTAAAACATCATAATAATATTTACCTGTGAAAATGCTAAAAAGAGTACTTCGTCATTACTTCTAAATCCTGGAATTAATCCTACATCAAGGTTTCGGGCTAAATAGTAGTTGTTATATGCCTACATTCAAGCAATTAAAATAATTAATAAAATACTATCATCATAACAGAATTAAATTTAATGATATTTCTAAAAGACACAGCAAGGTATGACACAATGTTGCAACTTCCAAACGCACATAAAGGACACAAAAACTGGGTACTTACAAACACAGATAATGAACACTATTACACACTGCGTACTTCCAAACACAGAAAAAGGAAACCAAAAGGGAAAGCAATGCACACTGGGTACTTACAAACACAGATAAAAAACACCAATACACACTGGGTACTTACAAACACAGATAAAGGACACCAATAGATACTGGGTACTTACAAACACAGATAAAAGACACCAATGCACACTGGGTACTTACAAACACAGATAAAGGACACCAATACACACTGGGTACTTACAAACATAGATAAAGGACACCAATACACACTGGGTACTTACAAACACAGATAAAGGACACCAATAGATACTGGGTACTTACAAACACAGATAAAGGACACCACTACACACTGGGTACTTACAAACACAGATAAA